TGATTTTTGTTTGCGCATTCGTAAGTATTTGGACTTTATGAAAAGCATTTGACCTATGATTCTTCTTCCATAAGCACTCCATCCGGTATTAAACGTGAATAGATGATATGTCCCTAACACAGTCTATTCCCCAACGAAGTAAATGTGACTTGATACACTGAGTGGACTCTTTACAAAATGTGTATTTCGAATAGTGATAATCATATCATTCAAAGTGTATTAAAGTTACTTTTGGTGGACTTAACACCTCATAGTCACGTAAAATAAGATACTTACATTTCCCGTTGGAGCTCATAGCCTAAATTTGGCCAGTGTTGTGATATCAATTACCTGGCAGACTACAACATAACATGGGTGTAATCTGGTCCGTAAATTATTAAAGTGAGCTCGCATAAAGAACACGAGAGTAAGCAAAGTACATTGTTGGTGCTCTAATAGTAACTCTGGCGAAATTTGTTACTCTACTCGACCCACAGCCTTGTACCAGAGTAAGTGCTCGAACTCATCTCTTTGGATATGGTGCAAGTTCATAATTATGACATTCTACCCATATGTAAAACTTTGTCAATGACACGACTTAATACATGAGGCATATTTATTTTAATTTACAGCACTATTACACTAAGTCAGTCAGAGAATGCGGTGGATGCATGGAACGTAAGTTAGAATCATAGCCAAGTTAGACTCGAATCAATTTCCAGGGAATTAAAGTATACGAACTTTGTGAATCGCAATAACTAAATTCTAGAAGAGAACGTCATTTTAGAAGTCATCCATATGTTCGCACTAATTTTTTGGGTCGTGTTAAGTGAGACAACTCAGAGTGATCTTTACAATACCCAATAAATGAATATTAATATTGCCGAAAATTAGTTAACCAGTAAGATCCTTTTTTAGTATACACTGTGTGAACCTCCGCTGGGAATGACATTTTAAAAGCTACTGCAACTTCAGCGCACACTGTAAGGTTTGCTACCTCCCACGTCACCTAATATCTAAAGAGAAACCTATCTCCTCACATCATGCAACCAAACTGTTCGCATTAATGCTGTACGGCACGCAGTCCGGCTTTTAACTTTTAGAAATTGGGTTTAGATGTGTAGAACGAACATTACAGGGTTGGAGAAGGAAAGATACAAGTGATCAGAATTATAAGCGCTATTTATAGAACGTGACGATTCGACATAGGAGTTTGTCACACACTCTGAACTTGCTAGATTGACAAGAGTTAACAAAGGTCGATTTCTCAATATCGAAACGAAAAAAAATCTCTCCTACTGCCTCCGTTCTCTGCTCTTGTCCTTCTTCTTTCCTGCGAGTTCTACTTTCTTCTCTGTCTTCCGTCATGCTCCGCCCTGCATCCTCACTTGGCTTTCTTCCCTGGCCTTTCACCCCTCATCCAATTTTCTATCTTTCCTATTATTACCTAATAAGTAGTTCTGGGGCGTGTTATTTTGCGAAGAACTATATTTTCGACAATTACTTTAAAATTTCATAAACGCTAATAATTGTTAACATTATGCAAAGTTACTATTTTAATGAGGGTTCAACCTAATCCAAATCTATATTGAGACAATGATCTCGTTACGTTGTCACTACATCTAGTACGTCATATCGCTTCGGGATCATATAGGGAGGTAAATGTTTTCTTATATATTCTTTTTGCGAAATGTGAGAATTAATTAAATAAAAACTATTACGAAAGTATGATTATTTTATTTGTAGACTTTATTGCGGCATCGAGCAATAAACTTTTAATAATAATCAGGCGCATTTATGCGAAAGGGGATGAATTGTTTGTTAGTAACGCTTTAGCGTTACTGATCAGTCCCTGGAAGTTGGTATCGCAACGATATATTTCTTGTGGTCGTGCTGCAGAAGTATTTGAAACGAAAAACCTTCTTATCCAACTAAAAATCACATAGAATCTTTAAACCCCCTATATTGTCGAAGTAATTTAGACTAATATATTTTTTAGTATTGAGGGAAATGTTTGGTATTGAATGCCGTTTCAACCGTAATGGAATTCAGAATCGTTTCTCCCTAAGAAACATGCGATTTGGTTTTGAGTTAGTAGAGTTGTTAACCTTTAATTATCTAGCAATTTATGCAAAAACGTAGATTTGGCAAAATATTTCAGGTGGCGAACACTGGCAGAACTTATTTCAAGTGGAAAACATTTAATAATTTAAAATCCACCCGACGCTTTTCTAAATTTCGCACGTCAACATTTATCTACAGACAGATTACCTACATCGGATTCGCATTCTATTGATCAGTATTCAGCCGGACGCTAATTCTAGGATTCGTATGTGGATACTAGTCCAAATTATAGTATAATTAGGTTTTCGAGTATTCCTGTATGCTCCGCACTAAATTCGGACGAATGATTTAAGAGTTATATTTTGAGAGTGTTGGGTTGCGCCATGGGATACCTGTCCCTAATACCACAGGGAAACGTCTGGGCTCTTGCGCAGTGCGTGTTGAGGCTTCTATGTATGCTGTTTTCTCTCTCGGACACTTTGGAATCATATAAACAATGATCTTTATTTATTTTTATGTTCCCATTTTCACACAAATTCCTAACCAACACGTCTTATGGACTAGTCATAGTGAGTTGCCCGTGCAGACTATTATATGTGTCATCCATCACAATGACATCACTTATCTCAATCGCCAGTGAGTGCGTGAGATACTTGATACATATACCTCAATGCATAGAGATATTTTTGTGTGCAGCACTGCTTTTACAGCCATCGGCAATTATTTATTAGAGAATACATTTGTCTTGTGTATTATAAATGAATGTTATCACCCACTAATTAGTGTCCATGAGAACCGCTCCTTTATTTTTAATATGGCGAGTCAGCAGAAAGGCAGGTAAGAGAGTAACGGATTAATTGAGATCGAGGATAGAATGTGTTATGGCAGTAAAACCGGAGAGAGTAAAGTTAATATCACAGCCCTGAAGTCAAGAGTAAATCGGAAACGGAGTGAGATCTAGTTGTGTCTGAATCTATAGTGTGTGAAAGGGGAGCGTATGTTAGTGGAGCGGTCGAACGATTCGAGGGCGAAATAAGAGGTACGCAGCTGACGACAGCGATCGAGGTCGTTTCGCATGACTGAGAGTGCTGCTATGACTCTCGGTGTTAAAATTTCTTAGGAAACGTCATATTACGATATTAAGAGAGGGGAGATAGGGAGCCCTCGCTGAGGCGGAAGGAGTTTTTTATATAGTTGTCAAGGGACGGTCAGCTTTGTGTTGTATCGCCAGAGGTGGTAATATAAATAAGTGTGGTCGGCGTAGGTGCGTTGAAAGTTGGTGCGTGTAAGCATGTTGCGCAGTGCGTCGACTGTGTGAGGTACTGGGGGTGGCATAGATGTGTGGCCGGGGTTGAAATTTAAGTGGGAGATCAATGGGTGGTTAGTGAGGTAGGGGACTTAGGTGATCTCGTCTTGGGGAATGGGTTGGGTTAGTGCAGAATATCAGAGGGTGTGTTCGGAGTTGAGAGGTGTAGTGATTCCGGCCTAAGAGTACTCGGGCAGAGGCTCTTGCGAAGTGTGACGCTGTAGGCTCTGGAATGTTGGGCGAGTATCGGGGTAGGAGCTATAGATTGTTGAGGTGAGGTAGCAGAGTAGGAGTGTCAGTTTCTTTGTCTGGTTAACTGTGTATTTCGTAGTGCTCAGGAAGTTTTAGTTGGAATCGGCAAATTGTTTAAACATAATCATATCTATTGAGTAGTGGTGCGGCGTGTGTGTGGAGCAGTTGTGGGTTGTGTTTGTCGGGTTCTGTGAGCTCTGTGGAGATTTGCAGGCTTTTTTAGATTTTACGCTGGACTACGGTGATACAAGGAAAGACGCAGAGCGGCAGCGAAATATGAGATGATTGAGAGCGGGGTACATGTGGTAAGGGACTATGATGATTCAATTACGTGAGGGTAAGCAGATAAGGAGATTTATTTGATTCTAAGCTATATATTCAAACCTAGAACTGATGTGGATATGAGATAGCATCTGTCAACGTGTACTGGGTCAGTATTTAGTGTATGATACACAGTAAATGACATCAGAAATAAGTTAAAAGTGTTCTGTGAGTGTGTTAAAGATGAGATGGCGGTTGGTCGGCACGCTCCGTCAGAGACGTGTGTTGGATAATATATTGCATGACATACTATGGATCTGGCTACTCAGTAGGATATTTCGCCCTCCAAACTCCAGTTACCATTATCTATCTGAGTTGAGGGTTATTCGTGGTCGATCTTTCGAAATTGACACAAGACAAGCTCTTCTTTCTTGAAAGCCGCTCTTGACATACAATTGAAGTCTTAAGTCAGTTAGATTTTAATTGTGTGGTAGGTTATTGTCGGTATATATATGTTAGTGTGTATATAACTGTGGTAATTATATTAGGGAAAAGATCGACTTCAAGCACTAGTTTTTATACGTGAGGCTCTTGAGATGGCTCGTGTCCGAGGGTGACATTTCGCTTGGTTGGTTATGATCAGACCAGTAAGATAATTTCATAGCATCGATGTCTCCACATGATCTCCCGGTGTGACGCATCTCTTCCCTTCTTCTCCATAAGTGTCAGGGCGTATTCTTTATGTAGTTATTATAGTGTTTTCTTGTGACCAATAAATTCGAGCTTTGAAATGATTCTTCCTGCAAATGAAAGCTTTTTCTATTACACTCTATAGTGATGCTTGCGAACCTCCACCTCGTATTAAACTAATAACTTTGGAACACCGTTGACTATAACAGACATAAGCCATCGTTGGCGCAGTCAAAGGACGTTCTGACACTAGAGATACGCTAAGCGCTTAACAGAAAAGAGGATCATTTCTCTCGTGCATCGCAGTTTTTTTTTATACCGTACTGGCAGCGAGACATCCGAGGTGAGGCTACGCGCTCGGGACTGAGAAGTGGCGAAGGCCGTGTGGGCGCAGCACTAGGCGAGAAAATGATTGAATCGTTTGGTGTGTATCGGTACGAAGTCTTACATCCCGCGGTGCATCTCGGAGCTGGCGATGTTAAAATTTGCGTGGGGCAGACGATTAGGCCGCTGGTTGTTGGCCTGCAGCAGGGACGTAGTCATAGTATATGTGCGATATAAACCGAAGTGCGAAGGAAATTGAATGTGTGGTAAGGCAACGAAGCAATCCAGTGCGTGATTGTGACAAAAATGGTTCGCTTAGTTGTACAGCAACAAAGAGTAGGAGATCACTGCAATCGGAATTGTAGGTGTGGGTGGCGACTTTGTGGTTCGTAAGCGGAAGGAATTGCTTTGGTGACCTTGCACCAGTGTGTAGCCTTTTGAGACCATTGACTTATGGCTAGGTGCAGAGAGTGGAGTATGCAATAGGTCGATTGATTCTGGGCGGATGGGTATGTATTAATCAGCGACTTAGCGTGCAGCGGAGACGGCGTAGGCGCCAGGGGGCGACTGCGGGGATAAATCCGGGGTGGCGGCACAGCTTGCGGGGTTGGTGGGTGGCAGAGGTAGGGGGGGGAGTGGCCCCGCGCCTGGCGCAAGGGCGTCGCGGGCGGGGCGGAGGCGGCGGAGGCAGAGGGATGTTAAGGACGAGGTGTTGTGTGGAGGGGCGGGCGCGGCGTGGCGACGGGGGACGGGGTGGTAGGTGGCAGCGGTAGGGCTAGCGGGGGAGTGGGTGAGTTGGGGGTGAAGCGGGGAGGAGTCAGGGGTTGTTGGGTGCGGCGTGGGCCGTGGATGGCGATGTGTGGGGAATGGGATGGCGGTGTGTCGGCAGGGGAGGGAGGGGGCAACGGACTAGCGATGGCGCAGGGGATGCGAGAAAGCGGGGAGCAGCGAACGAAGGTGGTGGTGGAAGGGGCGGGAGCGGCGGGGGCGGTGGAGGCGGTTGTATTTAATTTCTCTGTTAGGTCGTGGGCGGCGAGCGGCGAGTGGGGATGGCGGGGATGGAGGGGCGGCGGGGGTGGTTGTGGGCGGCGGGGGCCGGTGATGGCCGAGTGCCGTTGTGGCGGCGTGGCGTGGGGGGGGCGGGGGTGGGCCAAAGGGGTCGACGGGGGTGGCGAAGGCGCCTGACATGGTGCGACGGGGAGTAGCGGGGGAAGCCAGGGACGGAGGGAAAGCAGGGTTTGATGGGGTGGGGGCGGCGTGGTGGCGCGCCGTGATGGCGGTGCCGTTGTGGCGGGGCGGGACGGCGTGGGCGGCAGTGGCAAGGAGGGGAAGACGGGGGAGGCTTGGGTGCAGGGCATGGGGTGTGACGGGAAGCGGGTGGAAAAGAGACGGAGGCGGAAAAATGTGTGGTGGCAGGGTGCGCGAGGGACGGGAGGCGGGGTCGGGGAGGGGGGCAGAAGTGGGGCCAGGGTTTTTTGGGCAAGTGTTGGCGAAGCCGTTGTAATAGGGGCATGGGGAACGGGCGTGTTTGGGCGCCGCAACATCAGGGGTGGGTGAAGCTGCGGATTTGGTGGGGTGCGGGGGCTGGGCTGGGGCAGAGGGAGCGGTAGGGTATAGAGGTGGTGTTGGAGGGGCCGGTAAGCGCGTGGGCGGCGGGATCGGAGGGTCACACGTAGGCGGCCCCGGGCCGCGCGAGGGCGTGGGCGGGCGCAGCGCAGGCTCGCGGGGGCGTGGCCAGACGGCGAGAGATCGCGCTCGGTCCCCACCATCATCAAATCCAGGCCAGACGAGCGCGCGGGGGCGGGGCGGGGGGGCGGGGTTCTAGAAGCTCTCGGGCGATGCGCCCGGGTGGCAAAGCAAGCGAGAAAGCAATGGACGAGGGACCGGGCGAACGGAGCGGCCTGAATCGAACGGAAGCTGGGAGCGCAGTCGAGCCGCTGAAGCGAGGGATCGCTTCTATGCGAATCGAGGCAGACAGGTGGGTCGGGTTGCCGGGGATGATTCCAGGAAGCGTTGAGCGCGGGGGCGTGTGCGTGGCGGCGGGAAAA